ATGCTGATTTTCAACATCATCTTCATCTTTGGAATTGACAACCCAAATGCCAAGAATAACATTGCTGTTTCCACCAAAAACACCTTACCGGACTCAGACCGGGTAGATCCTCCTGAAAATGCCTCGTGTACTGCTGTAGCTGTCTTGCTGCACTATTTCTTGTTGGCAACATTTATGTGGACAGCGCTCAATTCTGCACATTTGTACTTACTGCTGCTCAAAACCCTGAGGCCCATTCCTGGACACTTCACTTTAATCATGTCAATAATTGGATGGGGTAAGAATTAGAGTCTCATATGCAGAGGGCTTTTCAAAATGTAAGTAGTGCATTCAGTGTAAGCTTTAAACATATTAATCCAATAGACAGAAAATGAAATACAGTCAGTTTCTTTGGGTTCGCTATGTGGTTTAACAGGTAGCTTACAGTTACTTCTAATGTCCTTTTACTGATTCACCTGCAGTTTACCAGCTCAGTCTGCTGTCACTGCATTAACATGGAGATCAGTAGAATTATAGGATATACATGGCATGTTCATTGTCACAGCAACTCCCGTCTGCTGCATACAACCAGAATTTTGGCAATAGCTAAGGGCTTCAAGAATATTGTATCACCTGAAACAAAATTGTTTCTGATAAATGATTGCATACTTGGAGTCAAATTGTGCCCTAGGAAGAGTATGTGAGATTCCCATTGATTTCAATAGGAGCCATTCATCCATCCAAAAGCAAAAATTGGCTTGTATTATTTATTATGTACTACTTCGTAATAAACATTTAGCACATCTTCAGAGCATAGCAATAAGCAGCAATGCTGCAAGATCAAGGGGAACTACTGGGAGAACTGAGGGAGGCAGGGGGTACCCACTGAATAAGACAGGAGTCTCTGGGACTCAGCTTCATTCAGTACAGTATTCTAAAAGTGTGCGTGAATATCTTAGTTGTCTTTGCCTCACTGAGTATGCAGCTGATGTGGGATACAGCTTTCTCGTGGTATCTACTAAATAGTTCTAGATTGTGAAAAGGGGCTAGGATTGCACAGTTGCTGTAAGAGAGCCAACTGCAGCACAGCAGAGGAGTTTGCTTTGCTGCCAGGATGTGGGGCGCCTCTAGAAGGCATGCACAGGAACTGATGCTCCACAGGTAAACTCAGTAAGGTTTGGCCCTGAGCTTCCCATAGATAACTTCCCTACTCAATCCCAAATCCTGCCTTTTCCTCAAGGCCACTATTGCCCCTTAACTGAGTGCAGGACAGATAGAAAATGGGCCTTAACAAGCCTTGAGGGTCTTAGCAGGTAGGTTTCCCCCTTATTTGGGTATTTCTGCAGAAGGGGGTGATCTAGACCTAGGTAATTAAACAATACACTACTGATCTCTCTTGATCTCTCTCTGTGTCTATTAGGAGTGCCTGCTGTAGTGGTTGCTATAACACTTGGAGCTACCTATAGAGAGGGCAAGCAATTAAACTACCGACAGGAAGAGTTGTAAGTAAATGAATGATTACACCACTTGTTTTATTGTATCTTTAATGTGCAGCAACATTAATGCTACCCTGGATTTACTATGGCAGTAATTGTAACTAATTAATGAATCCAGTCCTGGACCTCTTAGTCCTTACCCAAGCAAAACTTCTGTTAAACTCAGCTGGAGTTTTGCCTAAGTAAGGACTTCAGGCTTTGGTCCTTTGTTAACAAATGCTGATTAAAGCACTGGCCAAAATTTGCCTTGAATGCTCAGGCACAACTCCTCATTGACTTCAGCGGCAACTGTGCATGCTCTCAGCCCCTTTGAAATTCAGGCCACTTATTTAGGTGCCTAAATAGGGATTTAAGTGCTTAAATTTAGGCATGTAGATTTTTAAATTTTGGCCTACATCACTAATGTCCACAATTACCCTATATTATTTGGTACCTGCTTTCTATATGACTGCAGCCACACCATAATAGGCTGTCTTATAAAATATGCTGGGCTGGGCACAGTCTGTGATTGGTTCTAGTGGACCGTAAGTATGTAATCAGAGGTAGATTCTTTCAAGTGAGATGTAAAAACAAAACCCTTTCCACCTGGATCACTAAATATCCCATGGTGCTTTTGTCAAGATTTAGGGAGTATTAATGTTCTTATCTGAGATTACTGTTTGTTAAACAAAAACACGACAGTTATACTGTAACCTCCTCCTCCCTTCCTTGGCCCCACTTATCTGTTTCAGCTGCTGCCTCTTTCATCTTGCCATGAACATAGATTGTAAACTTTCTGGGGCAGGGGCTGTCTTTATACTACATGTATGTACAATCCCAAGTACAGTGGGGCTCTCTGATCCTTGATTGAAGGTTCCGAGGCTCTATTCTAATACAGACATAATAATAATAATAATAAACTCCCATGTCCTGGTCAGATTCCAGTTTGGATAATTACATTCTGTCTCCCCCAAATTCTCCTGTGCCGTTTCAGTTTGCTAACCTATTCTTCACTTCTCCTGGGGAGAAAAAAATTAAAAATAGCTTTATTAGTGCTGAATGTCTACAGTGCCCCATTCTAGATATGGCTGCGTTTCACTAGTGGGTGAGTGATGTCTATAAAGTCCTCTGGGATCCTTCAGGATGAAAGGTGGTGTATTATGTTATGGTTATGCATTTATAATATGTCTGCCAAATCTGTTGAAATGGTCTCTCTTTATGTTTAAGTTGCTGGCTTGCAGTCCTGGATGACAAAGGGGAAGTGAGCATAAAAAAGCCCATGATATGGGCATTCCTTTTGGTAGTGGCAGTCATCCTTCTGTTTAACATTATCATCTTTGTCAAGATCACTGTCTTTGTTATGTGGAAGGAGAACACAAATCTGACAAGGTGAGGGGATGGAAGAGAACTCAGAGCATTTAGAATATGAATATATGTTTTCTCTCATATGACATGGACTCAAAGGTTTGACAGAAGGCTCTTTCATTTAAAAAAAATATATTTTCAAAGAAACTAGAATATCACAGAGTGCAATAGCCCTCACTATAAGAACATAAGAACATAAGAACGGCCGTACCGGGTCAGACCAAAGGTCCATCTAGCCCAGTATCCTGTCTACTGACAGTGGCCAATGCCAGGTGCCCCAGAGGGAGTGAACCTAACAGGTAATGATCAAGTGATCTCTCTCCTGCCATCCATCTCCACCCTCTGACAAACAGAGGCTAGGGTCACCATTCTTTACCCATCTTGGCTAATAGTCATTAATGGACTTAACCACCATGAATTTATCCAGTTCTCTTTTAAACGCTGTTATAGTCCTAGCCTTCATAACCTCCTCAGGTAAGGAGTTCCACAAGTTGACTGTGCGCTGCGTGAAGAAGAACTTCCTTTGATTTGTTTTAAACCTGCTGCCTATTAATTTCATTTGGTGACCCCTAGTTCTTGTATTATGGGAATAAGTAAATAACTTTTCCTTATCTACTTTCTCCACATCACTCATGATTTTATATACCTCTATCATATCCCCCCTTAGTCTCCTCTTTTCCAAGCTGAAGAGTCCTAGCCTCTTTAATCTCTCCTCATATGGGACGCGTTCCAAACCCCTAATCATTTTAGTTGCCCTTTTCTGAACCTTTTCTAGTGCCAGTATATCTTTTTTGAGATGAGGAGACCACATCTGTACGCAGTATTCGAGATGAGGGCGAACTATTGATTTATATAAGGGCAATTATATATTCTCAGTCTTATTCTCCATCCCCTTTTTAATGATTCCTAACATCCTGTTTGCTTTTTTGACCGCCTCTGCACACTGCGTGGACATCTTCAGAGAACTATCCACGATGACTCCAAGATCTTTTTCCTGACTTGTTGTAGCTAAATTAGCCCCCATCATATTGTATGTATAGTTGGGGTTATTTTTTCCAATGTGCATTACTTTACATTTATCCACATTAAATTTCATTTGCCATTTTGTTGCCCAATCACTTAGTTTTGTGAGATCTTTTTGAAGTTCTTCACAGTCTGCTTTGGTCTTAACTATCTTTAGCAGTTTAGTATCATCTGCAAACTTTGCCACCTCACCGTTTACCCCTTTCTTCAGATCATTTATGAATAAGTTGAATAGGATCGGTCCGAGGACTGACCCTTGGGGAACACCACTAGTTACCCCTCTCCATTCTGAGAATTTACCATTAATTCCTACCCTTTGTTCCCTGTCTTTTAACCAGTTCTCAGTCCATGAAAGGACCTTCCCTTTTATCCCATGACAGCTTAATTTACGTAAGAGCCTTTGGTGAGGGACCTTGTCAAAGACTTTCTGGAAATCTAAGTACACTATGTCCACTGGATCCCCCTTGTCCACATGTTTGTTGACCCCTTCAGAGAACTCTAATAGATTAGTAAGACACGATTTCCCTTTACAGAAACCATGTTGACTATTGCTCAACAGTTTATGTTTTTCTCTGTGTCTGACAATTTTATTCTTAGCTATTGTTTCGACTAATTTGCCCGGTACCGACATTAGACTTACCGGTCCGTAATTGCCGGGATCACCTCTAGAGCCCTTTTTAAATATTGGCGTTACATTAGCTAACTTCCAGTCATTGGGTACAGAAGCCGATTTAAAGGACAGGTTACAAACCTTAGTTAATAGTTCCGCAACTGCACATTTGAGTTCTTTCAGAACTCTTGGGTGAATGCCATCTGGTCCCGGTGACTTGTTAATGTTAAGTTTATCAATTAATTCCAAAACCTCCTCTAGTGACACTTCAATCTGTGACAGTTCCTCAGATTTGTCACCTATGAAAGCCGGCTCAGGTTTGGGAATCTCCCTAACATCCTCAGCCGTGAAGAGTGAAGCAAAGAATCCATTTAGTTTCTCTGCAATGACTTTATCGTCTTTAAGTGCTCCTTTTGTATCTCAATCATCAAGGGGCCCCACTGGTTGTTTAGCAGGCTTCCTGCTTCTGATGTACTTAAAAAACATTTTGTTATTACCTTTGGAATTTTTGGCTAGCCGTTCTTCAAACTCCTCTTTGGCTTTCCTTATTTCATTCTTGCACTTAATTTGGCAGTGTTTATGCTCCTTTCTATTTGCCTCACAAGGATTTGACTTCCACTTTTTAAAGGAAGTCTTTTTATCTCTCACTGCTTCTTTTACATGGTTGTTAAGCCACGGTGGCTCTTTTTTAGTTCTTTTACTGTGTTTCTTAATTTGGGGTATACATTGAAGTTGGGCCTCTATTATGGTGTCTTTAAAAAGCGTCCATGCAGCTTGCAGGGATTTCACTTTAGTCACTGTACCTTTTAACTTCTGTTTAACTAACCTCCTCATTTTTGCATAGTTCCCCCTTTTGAAATTAAATGCCACAGTGTTGGGCTGTTGAGATGTTCTTCCCACCACAGGGATGTTGAATGCTATTGTATTATGGTCACTATTTCCAAGCAGTCCTGTTATAGTTACCTCTTGGACCAGCTCCTGTGCTCCACTCAGGACTAAATCTAGAGTTGCCTCTCCCCTTGTGGGTTCCCGTACCAGCAGCTCGATGAAGCAGTCATTTAAAGTATCAACAAATTTTATCTCTGCATTTCGTCCTGAAGTTAAATGTTCCCAGTCAATATGGGGATAATTGAAATCCCCCACTATTATTGAGTTCTTAATTTTGATAGCCTCTCTAATTTCCCTTAGCATTTCATCATCACTATCACTGTCCTGGTCAGGTGGTTGATAGTAGATCCCTAATGTTTTATTCTTATTAGAGCATGAAATTTCTATCCATA